TTGTTTATTACGCCTGTTCAAAACATTTTTCCCAATTGATTTAAATTAATACGGAAAATAGCGCACTTTATCTAATATATTCGAAATTACTTTTCTTAATCTCATCCCCATTATTAGGAGGGGGGGTCTTAATTTAGCCATTAACCCATAAGGAGACTCTAACTTAGAAAATAATTTTAAATTGTAGCCAAAAAGTGAAGGAGTAAATTTATGATTATATTTTTTCTCAAGAAATTTAGATATATGAAGTTCACTCATTTAAGCTCCAGCTATGTTAATAGCAAAGGACAAATAGGAGATACTTTTCTTATTTCAATGGTATAAAAGGATCAAAAAAAATTAACAATGAATGAAGCTGAAATTTTTTGAATAATACATAATTAAATTTTAGCATTTTTACTTTTTAATATATGCATATAACTTCTTTTAAAATTATTGTATAGAAAATGTTCAAGGATTAAAATAAAAAAGTAATGTACGCTTTTGTAGTTAAGATTATTCAAAATAAGATTAACTAAAATATATTGACAGTTATAAAGGTTTTACACTAAAATATTATTATTGTTCGAAACCCCAGTTATGGGATTATACTGAGGTTTTGTTATTGTTGTTGTTTGAAACATACCTCTCTTCAATCTATGTTAACTATATGAAAATGATTGTAATTCACTTTTAATAATATAATACTATTGATATTCTTAACATGTCATCAATAAAAATTAACCGCTTTGGAATAATGTGTTATGAATTCAACTCTCAATATTTATACTTAGATAACTCATAAAGAATTTCACTTGTATAATTTCACTGGATTTGTCATTATTGTTGTTCAGAACCGGTCAAAGAATCTCTTTCAACATTGTTAACAATGTACTCTCATCTCAATTTGTTTAACGGATTTATTTTATCAAACTTTAAAAGTTAAGTCATATTTGATCGATTAATTTTCTCATACCTAACTGATAAAAATATTATAAATTTAATGTTAATTAAATTTCTCTTAATTAAAAATCTCAAGAAAAAAAAAAGAAATACCAAACGTGCGTTGCTCGGTGACACGGTTACATGGGAATGAAGAAAAGATTAAAAGTAATAGACCAAAAATCCCGCCAGCATTTTTACCGTTAGGCTGTTTGAGTCAAAATAATGACGTCGTTCCGGATGCATAAAATCCATGACATCTTTTTACAGATAAGTCATGAGTTTTGAATTGGCAGTTAGCAGTTTGTCGGTTGTCTATTGGCCACTGGACCACCGATACATACAATGTTAGTGCTCTATCCAAATACAAGAAAACTGGAGAATAAAATGTATACATATATGTTTATCTCGTAGAACGATACAGTTGAATTTATATGTGATTTATAGATAAACGAATTGATTTGATCCCAAAATGATAAATAAATTAAATAAAATGCAAGACTTAGCAGATAGCATGGTTCTGGGAGCAGAGCTTCCGAGTACAGTAATACAAATATCGATAGACAAGAAATAAAGTATTATTGAGCTCTAAATTAGCTATCAATATTAGATTTCGAAAAACAAAGTGAACATATGATTAGTGTAGATTTAGAGGGCTGAAGGGAATTCTGAACCCCCTTTGTCGGAAAATTACATAGTGCATATAAGGCAAATTCTGTTTTGTGCATCTATATACGTCCTCCGTTTCAATTTATGTGAAATTATTTGACTGAGTACGGAGTTTAAGAAAAAAGAGAAGACTTTTGAACACGTGGTGTACAATGAGTCACATATATTTTATGTGGTTATAAATCATTATATAAAGGTAAATTGTTCTCAAATATGGAAATGGGTCATTCTTCTTAGCACAGACTAAAAGGAAAATATATAGGTTCAAATAAATTGAAACGAGAGGACTATTATATTTTGAATCCCCTTGACACAATCCAAAAGCATAGTTATGTGTTCAAGGTGGTTCAAAACCTTTGTAAGGTCGCCAGTTCAATTCCCACTTTCCATAGTAAAAGGACAGCCCGCATAAGACATCTCGCGTTCACGCAGGATCCGGGGAAGGGCCGCACCCAGGGGCGTGACATAGACAGTCTAACCTAATGCAAAAAATAGTTACTGCTTCCACGGTCCATAATCTTTTTTAATTTTTTTCTTTTCTTTTTTGAACCCCCTCAGCGGAATTAATCCTTCTTTCACCACTACGTGTGACATTTAACTTTATAGAACGTATATCGGTTGTGGTATCAGATGAATAGAATCTATTGTAGATATGAAATTTGCTAATTTTCAGAGGGAGCAAATGTTTGACTCAAAAGATATTGGACTTTTTTTCGACAAATCAATCAAAGATGAAGGGGCAAATCGTAGTCAAACTTTAATTGATTCCAGACCAAGAGATTTCATAATAATAAATGTGTAGGGGATGACGAAAGTATCGACAATCTCATTAAGATTGAATATTGCTTCTTCCTCAGTCCCTGAGGAAAGAATATTACAATTGCTTTTTTCTGTACAAGATACAAGAATGAAGCTTTTTTTTATTTTCCTTCTGTTGGAAAAATGGAGAGAAGACCCTTCTTTGAAAGCCTTCCTGGGCTATATATTTATATAATTAAAATTCCTTCACCCTCAGCGTGACTTGACGCGCTCGGGCCAGTGGTGCGTTCTGGTCGTGATTCCAAGCATTGCTCTTTTTGATTTGTTGGATATTGTGGAGGAGAAATAAAGTGGACTCTATTGACTTTTATTACCCGATTGCTAAAAAGGAGTCGTGGGCAACCTGATCGGGGTGGTCAGATTTTAACCAATACAGTTAGTCTCTCCGTCAGTCGGGGCCATCCTTTGTCAGGCTCGACGGATGGATCATGTTTGCAGCGTAGTCGAGAGGAATCTGACCCCTAACTTTCTGTTCCTTAGTCGTGTTTTGTGGACTTTTTGGCGGAGTGGAAGTGTTGTTTCGATACTTGTGGATCGTTGCAATGGATTCGGAATCAAAACTCCGGTTGGCAATGAAGCGTTAATTCGTGGATGCCACCATTATGACACACGTTCCTGGGAAACTGAAACGTTTCGTGCCCTATCAGATTCAAATGGCGACTCTTGGGTTTCGTGCTCGAGGAATTTATGTCTCTTATAAATAGGGAAACATGTCATTTGATTAATTCACTTCATCATTCATTTGAAAGAGTTCTTCAGATATCGCTTTTTCTGATACCCTGAATTCTTGCTCACCTTCTTGCTCACTGCAACCTTTAATCTTTTCTTCGTATCACTTCTTTCGGAGAGTTTTCTGCTAAAAATGCCCGGCAATTCTTCTCGTGATAATCTTCCTGCCGCTAATCCGGTAACAAAGAGCTCTGTTCAGGCCACCGGAGAAGTGGATGCGGTAGAGGATGAGGACATTCCCTCGATAGATGAAATTCTGCCTCGCCCAGGGAGGGACGCGACTGACTTCAGTTTCGGCGGTGGAGCGAAGTCGGAACACGTCGCTTCCGTTGTGAGGGAAAGGGGAATTGTAGAGTTGAGGGAACGGTGAGGAATCCCCAGTTTCATCGAGATTCGGCCGGCGGAGGGGTAGTGACCTCCCCGGATATTGTGTGTTCTACGCCTACCCCTTTATCGTAGGGTACTCACTTCCTCTCCCCATGTTGATGGTAGATTTCTGCCGCTACTACGAGGTGTGCGTGCTCAACTTTCTCCTTATTTGTACAAGTTATTTCTCATGCTGCTCAAATATGCGGAACTTGCCGGTCGTGAGGTCACTTTGGGCCATATGCTTAGCATTTTTGCTCCACAACGGATTCGAGGTATAATGATTCATGCGCGTGCTCGGGGATCAAAAGGTCTAGTGGTAAAGATGGACGATAGAACCAATCGTCATTTGTATGAAAATTACTTTAATGTGCGGACTGAACATATTGTGGCAGACCCGGCGGGATTCCTCGAGAGATGGAACTTTGCCCGTAAGTTTGCGTCTTTATTAATGAAATGTTCGACCATTTTTCACAGATGCTAAACTGCTTTGTTTTTCTGCAGCTGAGAGATTGCCCCCACCGCCTGTTGAAGGGATTCGCAAATGGGTGGAGGCCATTCTTCCCCACACATTGGGAGTTCGTACCTGGTAGACTTTCCATGAGAGGTTTGGACACAGGCCTCTTACATGTGAGATGACGTCTTTATCTACTGTTCCCCCATTTATTGTTGTTTAGCCTCTTATGAATCATTCGTCGTTGTCAGGGAGGATGCAGAGAGCAAGGGCCTCTCAGCTAGCCTTTCGCCAGCCGGTCGCATCCGCTCGTCTTGTCGCTGCACCTGCTGCACGCCCTTTGTTGAGAGCTGCTTCAGTTGAATCTGCGGTCTTGGTTACTCCAACAAGGGCCGCTTCTCAGGACGAGGTCCTGACCAGTGTCGTCTGTCCTACGAACGAGTCATCGTCGACTGGGGAGGAGGAAGGGCCATCAAAGAGATGGAGAGTAGAGTTTTAGATGGGGACTCCGATAGTGATTCACCTAGATGATTCTCCCCCGAAGGGCTCAGGAGAAGGTGTTGCTGCGGCGTCTTCCATAGAGGCGGAGCGGATTGTTGAAATTAGCGCCGACAGTCAACGCTCAGAAACTCCGGCTGCCGCTATGGCTCAGCCATAAGTCCCTGTTGTTACTGGAGATCAACGCCTTGTCATGGTAGAGAACCAGACCTCTGGCGCCGCTATTGTGATTTCAGACGTGCCCTCCTCTTCTGTAGCAGATCGTGCTCGTTCTTCGACAACAGAAAGGGGAAAAGGCGTGATGGTTGATGAGTATGAGTCCGAGTCAGACCTGGATCCTGATGATGTCAGGATGTTCGATGAGGGCCTTACTCATTCGGTAGTTCACGCTGGTGGCTCGGCTCGTATTTTTCAGATCCCTT